GTAAGTCTCTTCCCCAAGAGAAGAATGAAGGGATGGATGGATGGAGAGGAGGACGCAGAGGGCAAGAGAGGGCGAGAATGTACCAAACCAACCTCTTCCACTGAATGTAATGGATGGGCATCACTGGGGGAGACACTTCGGTTCATCCCATCTTAGCCTTCTTTGACCCGAAAAATCAGACCTAGTTTTTGAGATGCAAAATAGATAAATATTACAGTCCAGACCAAGCAGGGGCAAACTGTTAGGAATGATGGGAGTTGAAGTCCAAAACACCTGGAGGGACAAAGTTTGCCCATGCCTGGTCCAGACAATCCAAAGACCCAATTTGCTGTATACGACAACACAACGTAGCAATATTAATGTTTGTTCCTGGGTTATCAATGGCATTTCCTAATTGATCTCCTGCGATCCTTTCCCAACGAATCCCTCCATCCATTCAACCTAGTTTGTGTCTGGAACATAACAACCGCTTTCAAAGTCAGGGCCGTACAACCAGACAGGAAATAACACTTTTGAACCAGGAACAGGATTTATTTATTTTTCAAATTATGTCACGTAGCGGAACAACAATAATCATAATACTGGGTGACACACATTTTGGTACCGCCAATGTTAGCCCTCTTCCTGAGTATATTTGACTCGCCAATTCCAAAAACATAGTTTTCCCACTACCAGATTTAGTTTTTGAGATATAGGCCATATATATATGATGGTGATGTATATATGACGATGATACTGATGTTGATGTTGATACAGGCCAACACACATTTTGGCGACTCAAATGTGGGACTCCTTTCTCAGTATATGTGACTAGCTGATTCCAAAAACGGCACCGTTTTCCACCCACAAGACCTAGTTTTTGAGATACAGGCCATACACACACACACATATATGATGCTGTTGATGTGTATATATACATATACATACACACACACACACACACACACACACATATATATGTATATGGTTTTGATGATGTTGATGTTGATATACAGGTCAACACACATTTTGGCGTCTCAAATGTCGGACTCCTTTCTCAATATATTTGACCCGCATGCGCACACACACATATATGATGCTGTTGATGTGTATATATACATATACATACATACATACATACATACATACATACATACATATATATATGGTGTTGATTATGTTGATGTTGATGATATACAGGTCAACACACATTTTGGCGTCTCAAATGTCGGACTCCTTTCTCAGTATATTTGACCCGCCAATTCCAGAAATGGCACCATTTTCCCCATACGAGACTTAATTTTTGAGATGCAGGCCATACACACACACACACACATATATAGATGATGCTGGTGATGTGTGTGATGTTGATGTTGATGTTGATGTTGATACAAGCCAAGGTACATTTTGGTATCTCAAATGTTAGATTCCTTTCTGAGTGTATTTGACCTGACGATTCCAAAACCAGCACCATTTCCCCCTTATCAACCTTAGTTTTTGAGATACAGGCCATATATATATACATACACCCACCCACGCACACACACATATATAGATGATGCTGTTGATGTATTTATATATATATGTGATGATGTTGATGATGAGGATGATACAGGCCAACACATATTTTGGTATCTCAAATGTTAGACTCCTTTCTGGGTATATTTGACCAAAAATGGCACCGTTTTCCCCCTACCAGACCTAATTTTTGTGATACAGGCCACATAGATAGAGGATAGATAGATGGTGATGTATGTGTGTGTATATATACATATGACTGTGATGATGTTGATTATCACTGATGATGATACAAGCCAACACACATTCTGGTGTGTCAAATGTTCGATTTTTTTCTCAGTATATTTGACACACTGGTTCCAAAAACAGCACCGTTTCCCCCTTATGATCCCTAATTTTTGAGACACGGAATGCCTTCCGGTGGGATTGGGGGGAAAATATGCGTTATAAAGACCATTTAATGTATTTGCTGTATTTTAATTCTGTTTTCACCACCCTGTCTTTCTTGAATTCTTTCTTGGCTTTTGCATTGCTCGTTGAGTGTTGAGTGTGGATAGATGTTCACCACCTTGAGTTACCATGGGGAGAAAGGTGGCGTAATAATAATAATAATAATACATCACACAGTCCTAGACACTTGGGAAGTGTTCGACTTGTGATTTTGTGATATGAAATCCAGCATATAGATCTTGTTTGCTGTGACATACTGTGCTTTTGTGTCAGTAAAATGATAATAATAATAATAATAATAATAATAATACTGACACTTACCAGTTGCTATCTCGATGAAGCTGTCTAGGAAAACCGGAGTAAACACACTGCATTTGATGCACTTTTTCTGACTCTGACTGCATGAATAGGTCTAAAATAAAAAAAAAAAACCCAAGGAAAATACATATGATTCTTGTCGTTGTTGTGTTTGTGAAGCAAAAGGATGCAGGAAGAATGGGAGAAGGATGAGAAAGGGAAGGCGAGAATGCGCCGTGGAAAGGAAGTGGTTGGCTTCTTTTGAAGGCTGGAAAAGAGTCCCTGGAAGAGCAAGAGTTTCCAGCTTGGAATACAGAGAGGGAAAGGCAAGAAAGCGCTCAGAAAGACAAACCATTTGACTTTGCTGAAAGGCTGGAAAGAACAGAAAGGGAAGAGATGTTCCTTGAAAGCTTGAAGGCTGGGAAGGCAAGGCAAGGCAAGGCAAGGAAAGGAGGGTTTAGCTTCTTCTGAAGGGTGAAACGGGCCATAAATGGCCCTCGAAGGCCTTCTTTAGGGCAAGAAGGAAGGGCAGGGAAAGGGCCAGAGGTGGCCCTTGAATATCTTCCTTAAGGGGAAAGAGAAGGGCCAGAAACAATCCGTGAAGACCTTCTTTAGGGCAAAGAAGATGGGTCAGAAATGGCCCTTGAAGATCTTCTTTAGAGCAAAAGAGAAGGGCAGGAAACGGGCCGGAAACGGCCCTCAAAGACCTTCTTTAGGGTGAAAGAGAAGGATGATAAATGTTCATTGAAAGCCTTATTTACAGAAAAAAGAGAAAGACAGGAAAAGGGCCAGAAATGGCCCACAAAGACCTTCTTTGGGGTGAATTGGAAAGGTAAGAAAGGGGCCAGAAATGGCCCTCAAAGACTCAATCTCAATCTCTCTCTCTCTCTCTCTATCCATCCCAATATCTATCTATCTATCTATCTATCTATCTATCTATCTATCTATCTATCTATCTATCTATTTTTATCTCAATATCTATGTATCTATTTATCTATCTCAATATCTATCTGTTTGTCTGGCTATCTATTTATCTATCTATTTATCTATCTCAATATCTATCTATTTATTTCAATATTTATCTATCTATCTATCCATCCACCATCCATCCATTTATCAATCTCAATCTCGCTCTCTTTCTCTCTCTCTCTCTATCCATCCCAATATCTATCTATCTATCTATCTATCTATCTATCTATCTATCTATCTATCTATCAATCAATCATCTATCCATCCATCTAATCTGTCTGTCTCAATATCTATCTCAATGTCTATCTAGTTCAATATCTATATCTGTATCAATATCTATCTACCCATCCATCCATTGCATGTTTCGCTCTCTATTTCCATTTGTCTCTGTGTCTCTCATATCTAACATGATAGACAGAGGGGGTTGGGCTAGATGGTCCATGTAGTCTCTTCCAATTTTATTATTCTATGATTCTAATATCTATATGTTAATTATCTTTCTATCTTCATTTCCCTCTATCTATATTTTCTATCGATTTAGCTAACTATATATGTAATACCTTTCTCTCTCTATATATGTTATGTATCACCCACCTATCTACGTCTCTATCTCTTTCATCTATTTATCCTATTTATCATCTATCCTCCATCTCTATCAATTATCTATCTATACCTATCACCCTGGTGGCCCCCAGTGGCGCAGTGGGTTAAAGCGCTGAGCTGCTGAGCTTGTGGATCGAAAGGTTGCAGATTCGAATCTGGGGAGCGGCATGAGCTTCCGCTGTCAGCCCCAGCTTCTGCCAACCTAGCAGTTCAAAAACATGCAAATGTGAGTAGATCAATAGGTACCACTCCAGCAGGAAGGTAAGGGTGCTCCATGCAGTCATGCCGGCCACGTGACCTTGGAGGTGTCTAAGGACAGCGCCGGCTCTTTGGCTTAGAAATGGAGATGAGCACCACACCCCAGAGTTGGGCACGACTGGACTTCATGTCAGGGGACAAACTTTACCTTACCTTTACCTTTAACCTATCACTATCACTCTCTATATCATCTCTCATCTCTTTCTACGAATCTCCCTATTTTGAAAAGCTATCTATCTATCTATCTATCTGTCTGTCTGTCTGTCTGTCTGTCATCTACCTATCTATAGTTACCTCTGCTATTTCTCTCTCGTCTATCTACATATTATCTATCTGCCTGTATTATCTCTTTCCCCCTATTTAGCTCTATACATCTCTCTCTCTCTCTCTCTCTCTCTCTCTCTATTTCTCTATCTATCTATCTATCTATCTATTTCATACATACAAATGTTTTATTGATTAGCCCATCGGCCATATCAAAATATTTAACAAACACATTTTAGACATATCTATCTCAATATCTATCTATATCTATATGGCCCTCAATATCAATATTGAGATAGATAGGTAGATAGATATATCAATATCTATCTACCTATCTCAATATTTCAATATCTATTGTGCTGGACGCTCCTTCTTTGGAGGCTTTGAAACAGAAGCTGGATGGCCATCTGTTGGGGTGCTTTGAATGCAATTTTCCTGCTTCTTGGCAGAAAGGGGTTGAACTGGATGGTCCGCAAGGTCTCTTCCAACTCTAGGAGTCTATGATTCTATTATTCTATCTCAATATCTATCTATCTATGTATCTATTTTTATCTCAATATTTATGTATCTATTTATCTATCTCAATATCTATCTATCTGTCTGTCTATCTCAACAGTTATCTTTCTATCTATCTATCCATCCATCTATTTATCTATCTCAAT